TTTACTCCGTAGAAAAGAGCAATTAAATATAAAAAGGGAATGTTTTAATGTATCTATGATTTTGCAACGGATACTGAAGAAGGTAGCAGTAGGAATAGTTGCACTGAGCTATTTGCAAAGTTTTAAGGGAATGATAATAGAAGAAGACATATTAAATGTAGAAGAGTATTGGATTAAAAGGATATATTTTATTGCTGTAGAGATTAGAATCCGTAAAAGATTTCTCCGTGAAGTAAGAAAAAAAACTCTAAAATGCAAAGAAATATCACCTGATGTTTATAATAAAGATCTAGAAGATGGAGAAGAAAGCTTATCCAGTGCAGATAAAAAGATTTTTGATCTTAATAAAAGTGTGGAAAATATATTGGAAGAGATAAAAAGATTGAAAGAGATACAAAGATTGAAAGAGATACAAAGATTGAAATGCTTACAAAAATTCGAAAAATTAATCGAGGAAGCAACTGAGTTATATAAGAAAGTACAGAATTCACTTTCATCAGCTCTCAATGAGAATGACTCATTATGTGATGAAATGCAGAAGTTTGACTCTCATATGCTGAACATAATAGAGCACTATACTAGTAACATAAAGAACAGTAGCAGTAAGTTAAGTGAGCTGACGCTATTTAAGCTAGCAAGGTGCAATAAGCTTTTTACTATAAATATTATATATTCTCTTTTTATGGCAGAGCCATACAACCCAGACGAAGATATAAATTCTGCAGTAAATAGCATATGTGCAAATTTATTTAATTATTTTGCTTCTATAAATCCTTCATCCTATAAAAAAGCTATAGTAAGTGATATAGAGAAAGGAGAGCTAGATCTATTAAAATTAGTTGATAGACATTTTCCATTGCTATTAGAAGAGTACGGAGCTGATAAAGAAGTAATGGACATCTATTTAGACCTAGCAAAAGAAAGCATTTCTGAAGAAGAAGTAAATAAGTACACGGACATTAGACCCGAGGATGTTATAAAACTGATATTGATAGAGATGGCGATGAATAGTCAGTTTATGGACTACAGAAGGAATAGTTTGCTTTGCAATCTTGGGAAGATAGTAGTGAGAGTGGGAAGACCAGCTAGTGAAAGTGCAAATACTTCAGAAGATTTTAAGGTAGCAAAAGTTAAACAAGATAGAATTCTTGATGTCCTAACCCTGCTGTGGAATGATTTTGGTTTATCTAGTGAAGATGTGGTTTCAAGAGGAACGAGATCTTTCTGCAGAAGGAATAATATTGAAGCCGAGAGGTTTAAAGATGTGCAGGCTAGTTTTATGGCTGCTAGATGGATGTACTCACTAGGCATGAATAGTCTAACAGCAAATAATAACTTTGATCATCCAGAAATATTCAAAAAGTTTTACTTCGCTATGTCTTATACTCATCCTATGTACTATTTGTACCAGCGATGCGAAGACATGTGTCATTTGATTAAAGAAGATCATATATACAATGAAAGCTTTGCAAAATCAGCTTTAGGAAGCTATATTACACTCAAACTGCATAAAATAGATAGAAAAGACAAAAATTTACTGCGAGAAATAAGAATGAAAAATTGCATTAGAGCATGGCGTATAAAATACGTTACAATTATTAGCAGAAAGGAAGATGATGAACAATATCAAAATATAGCTCTTGACTTTAGAAAATATCTGGATAAGTCAATATATGTGCATAGAGCAACAATAAAGCCTATATTAAAACCTGCATCTGAAGCTGACAGTGAGAATCCTCTACAGAACACCAAGGCGAACTTGAAAAGAAGAATTTCAAGCTAGTTCAGCCGTTTACACCCATTAAATCACTCTTAACACAGAATAAAGCCAACATTTAGCTATCTTCCTTCTATTACTAACGAAAGCGTAAATGATCTTATCCGTTGCATGCTTATTCTACAGCACTACAAATAATCTAGAATAATTTGGCTATAATTATGGTGCCAATTATTATTTTTCACGTGCAGTAGCTATATGCAAACTCTAGGAACAGAAATATAAAAACACTTCTAGCTATAAAAATAAAATAATTAGCATCATGCACTAGTCAAGAAGTGGAAGCATGTGCTCTGTCAAAGATCATGATTATGGAGATAAAACACCTATAGTATGTCTGAGCAGCGCTAAATGGTTTTTTATGGTAGAATGTGCATGGGGGCACAGGGGTAAGGAGTGTCACCTCAACTGCCAACCATAAATAGAAAAAAATCATAATTTAGCATGAAGCATAAGAAAACAGAGAAAGTGTTGGGTGCACTTGTAGTACTTTTTTCTCTTTTTATCAGAGAGTGCAGAGGAGGACGGGATAGCTTCAGCACTGAAGAAGCCGCTGACCCAATGATAGGAGGAGGTAGAACAATAAGACAGAGAAATGAACTAGATCATTCTCATGCTGATCAAGCTGGGAATGACAATGAGGTCTTAGACCTGGACGAGTTTAATAGACCTCTGAATCCAGCACAAAATATATTGGAGAACTACGATCAGCACATGCAACAGGATCATACACAAGATTATTCTGAAGGTAAAAAAGTTGGCAATGGAGCAGACAGCACTGTAGAGCCAACTGGTGCAGAAGGCAATGAAATAGAAGAGCCACACATTGATTATATCGGGCGAGTGCCAGACATTCCGATGATCTCAGACAACTATGAAAATATTAAATATTTGCAAAGAAAGACAGATCATGCTATGCCAGAATCCAGTGCAGACAAAGACTCTCCTAATGATGTATACGAAGTCCTAGACACATCTGGCAGCAAAAAAATAGAAAGAAAAACAACAGAAAGTCCAACTATTGATTCTGGTGAAAAAGACAAGACAGCTCCCTCATATGGATTGCTGACGGAAATAGATGGCAATGATATGCAAGACTATTTGTTATCTCAGGAAGACATGGAGATAGTTAGTGCAAGTAAAGAAGCTATCAATAACCTGGATAATAGAAGCACTATGCCATACAGAGCAGAAAAAAGAACAGCTGATGAAATGCACAATTCAATAGGTGAGCTGGATTACCAGTACATAGCGAAGGACAAAAGAAGAAGAGAAGAGTGTACACCAGGTGAAATAGGTAATTTTGCCTACCAGGATGGCATTGGAAATACAGAAGAAGAGGAATATGTGTCAGATGAAATACAAGATGTTGTCTATCAGGATGACATCGAAACCACGGTAGAAGAAGATACACCAAATAAAATAGGTAACATTTTCGATCAGGATGACGTTGAGAATATGGTAGAAGATGATGAACCGAAAGATTTAAACCACAAAGAGCTAAATTTAAATAGAGCCTTATTCGGAAAAATAGAAATGAAAGATCTCGATATTAGCATATGGAACGATACTAGATTGAAAAATATAGGCAGACTGAGGAGAAGAATGAATTACAATACACTGTGCGATCATAAATATGCAAAAAATGATCTGATTATTGGAGCAAATGCTAAGCCCTACCAAGCAAGTCTTAAAGCAGCTATTTATGAATATTCAAAGCTGATTTCTCGGGGAATAAAGAAAAATGAAGTGCAATACTTCGTTGGAATCAGTGGTATGAACGTAAGCCTGAAGTATAAAACTCTTCTCGGACTGAGAAAATTGTTTATGGACCGTAAAAGCATATACAGAAAGATGGTGAAGAAATTTAAGGGATACTACCCCAATGTGATTGAAGATATGATAGTATATGTAGAAGAGCACCAGCCAATTAGAATTCTTATACAAAATCCACAAACTGTGTGGAAGAGAACACTAGGGGACATTTACATGTCTGAATGCCTTAAAATGGACTACAGTGTGATTAGAAACCAGAAAGAGATCTCTACTCTAGATAAGAAGTACCATGCACTAGCATACGCTATAAATATGATTATAACGCTGCCTGAGGTGTATCAAGACTTTCTGGAGATTAGCAGAGAGTTTATAAATTATACATATGATAAATACTCACTGAATCCGGCTGAAGATATGAATAACTTGCGGATTATACTGATAATACAGGAATTAGTATATCTCCATGAGGAAAAAGCAGAATATTCTACTTTTGTATACAGCAATCTATACAGTACTCTTGAAAATATACATAATGAAGAAATGCTCCAAAACTTAACAGCTACTGATCTGTATCAGATCATATACAAGATTATTGCAGATTTCTACGATATGGCAGAAGTAGTTGATAAAAAGTATATTCTGGCAGGAAAGTGCATAATAAAAAACCAGAAGTATATAAAGTGTAGAGTAAGAGTAAACATGGCATCAGAAGACGAGAGCAAGAAAATTTTAAAGCCAACATACTCATTTGAGAAAAACAAGTGGGAGGTTTCGTCTGATATAAAGACGCACTACCATGTACACTATGTAGACAATACATTGGGCCAGCCTAGAAGATTGTGCATGCCTATATACAAAGAAGAGGGAAGTGAAGAAGAGCACTATTTGCACACAATTGGTGATATGGTGAAGTACATAAAGAAGCTGTATAGGATAAAAAAAGAACTTAACGTGATATATCCGTTTAAAGTGGACAAGAAAAGTAAAATATGGAACTACATTAAAAAAGAAGATGAGAATAAAACAGCCAAAGACCTGAAAGACTATGACATAGTGTTTTATCACATTAAGGAAAACATAGAAGTAACAGATTTTACTTTTGCACAGTTCTTGTCTTTAATCTCCTACAGCGAAAAAAGTGGAACTACTCTCATCCCGCTGTTTGTTACACATCTAATGCAAGATGCTATAAAGTCAGGGCCCTTTATTACAACAGCAAGTCATGAAAATCTGAAGTTAATAGAGCTTAAAGATAAAAACCCTGATTTTTATAGATATAACTATGCCTCCTATGTGAATTTAGAGCATTCTTGTCTATTTGGATACTACAGCAATCTGTACATCCTGCCAGATGAAATAAAAAGCACCGAATGCTATGTCATGCAGTGCCAGTTCATTGAACAAGCGAATGGTGCTATTAGTGTGGTGTCTTATGCAAAGATGCCAGGGGATGTGGATGAATATACACACTGTGTGCTAAATGAAGACTTCAAAAGAGATTCAGAAGAATTTGATGCCTTTATTGAAACAATAGAGTCAAGAGACCACAACGAAGACAGCAAGCTGCAGGGATTTTGGCTGCGCAGTGATAGAAAAAATAACTCGCTTACAATACAGGGCTTATTAGAAGAGAGAAATACGCTTGGACTATATGGAGAAGATGATAGCTTAGAAATTCTCAGAAACATGATTATTAATGCAAAGAAGAGGCTGAAAAAAATAGAAGAAAATCTGATACAATTTAAAGAGTTTGAATCAATAGAAGAAAAAGAGTTGAAAAATAAATGGCAGTCGCTACAGAGAGAAAAAAGTATTGAACAAGATAACCTAAAAGAACTGAACGAAAAAGTGAAAAAAAAGCTTTCTGAAGTAAAGAAAACTGCAGATGTTAAGATTATAGTGTTCCGGAACGTGAATTCAAGCAGATCTAATCTAGGAGCACACAACGAGCTTCTTGATGTTTTCATCACATTATATAGACAGCCGAAAGATAGAAGTAAATAAATCGGTCAAATAAGCAAATTTATATAGATAGCACATAACTTTACTAAGTGATATATTTAATGAGACAAAGGATAGTGTAGATATCTACTGCTCACTCTTCTAGCTAACCTCTAAACAGATATAATTCGAGAACAAAGGCTGATTTGCTGAGCCACAAGAGCACTAGATAGCTTTGTCAACTATTGATCAGTTGAAACTGTTTTAAACACCAATCAAGTATTCATGCGAACTCATCAATAGTATGGTTTACTCCGTGGAAATAGAACAATTAAATACAAAAACACAACATTTTCATTTTCTTATGATCTTGCAAAAAACACTGAAACAGATAGTGGTAACGGTATTTGCACTTGCTTATTTAGAAAAGGCTGCCTGTGCGCTGTTAGTAGAGGACTTAGAAAGCATGAAAGATTACTGGAGCAATAGGATAGACGGCATGTTCAAAGAAATCCAAATCCGCAAGGACTTTCTTGCTAGGGCTCAATCTTTTAAGTGTGAAGAAGCCGCATCTAAAGGCTTCAGTGACGGGCTGAATGAAGGAAAAGAAAAACTATCCAATCTGCTAAAATGTTTTTTAACTCTACATAGAAGTGTAAATCACATAGTAGAAAGAACAGAAAGCCTGATGTCTGCAGAGAAAAGTGGTATGCCTGGTCTAGAGGTAACAAAGGGTCTGCGAAACTTGGAAGGTCTAGCCATAATGACTCTTGACATGTGTGATATAGTGTGCGATAGAATAAAAGAGTTCGATTCTCACATGCTAGGAGTAATAAGAAACTACAGTAAAGCGACGAAGAAAAATAAAAAAACGCACGAGCTACCGCTGTTCAAGCTGGCAGAGCAGAATAAACCGCTGGCCATCAGCATGATATACACTCTTTTTAGCACAGAGCCATACAACCCTGCTGATGATGCAGAAAATGCACAAATTAGTATTCTTAGAAATGCCTGCAAGGTTACATATGGGTCTATGAAAAGTTTTAAAAATTATGATAACGCTATATGGAATGAGGTCGATGAAGGGAAAGTAAAACTGCTGAAACTAGCCAATAAGTATCTGCCCATATTATTTAATACGTACAAGATGGCTGATAAAGAAGCAATGGACATCTATCTTGGCCTGATAAAAGAAAATATTTCTGAAGCCTATTTAAACATGTACACAAACATCACTCCTGGACAGATTTTAAAAATAGTAATTATGGAATACATAATGTCTGGAACTCTCATGGACTACAGAAACAACAGATTCTTTTCCAACCTTGGAAAGCTAATAGTGAGAATAGGAAGGCCAACTAAGGACAGCACAGAGGTGCAGGAAGATGCAGAGACGCTAGGGAAAAAACAGAACAAAATACTTGATGCTCTGTGTTTATTACACAGAAAACTCAAAGTATCTGATATGACGCCAGACGATACTAAATTCTACGAAGAGAATAGCATAGATGTCAATGATCTTCAAAGAGTACAGGATGGGATAGCATCTACGCGGTGGCTGTACAAACTGGATATGGCCAACCCGTCTGAAGAAGAGCTCAGAAAAAGCAAAACACTGTTGAAAAAAGTGTACTTTGACATGTTTTACATCCATCCTATTCTCTATTTGTATCAGCGATATGAAGATGTAAGCTGTTCTACTGGAGCAGATCTTGGAGCAGATGGTCTGCCTTTTGCTGAAAGAGACTCAAGGCGTATTACGCTCAGAATGTACAACATAAGCAAAAAAGATGGGGGCTTAGTAAAGGCAGAGAACATAAAAAACTGCATTAGAGCATGGTATCTAAAGGAAATCATCTTCATCTACAGAGAAAAAAGCGACCGAAGCTGTATCAGAATACTCACTGATTTAACAGAATATTACATGAGTTCGCTGAATGTGATAGTAATATTTTCGTTTCCCGTTGCCGAGTGGAAGATGCGTAACCTTAGCTAAAAATGTGTATAAACAGCGAATCTACCAGTATGCTATCTTTCAGTCAGCATTACTTCTTTTCTGCGCAAAGAATGGCTAGAATACAGAAGTATAGCCTAGTTGAGGATATACTGATGACTTTGTGTCATAGATCTTCTATTTGTGTGTGATAATCTACTCTTGTAGAATGAGAACCGAATGGCATACAGCTATTTACTATTTTTCATTTTGCTGGAGTGTCATCTAGCAAATAGAAAGAGTTCTGAGCAGCAGATTCTACAAGATAGAATAGCCCGAGAAAATAGAAATAAATACAAAAATAAATCTTTTCGTACACAATTTTATTTTTTAAACAGCACTCACTAAAGAAAATGGAAACAAGTACTGCTTTCTTTATTTGCACAAGTTGAAATTAAAATTATTTATATCTACTACAAAATAATAGTAGCAATTTATTTACAGGCATCAAAATGATCAACCAAGGAGCCATCCTAATCCTAATAATTGAAACATTCACAGATCAACGAATAAGCTAGCATCCAACGCATTAGCCTATTCACTTCATAAAAAAGCAGCTAGTAGAGGAGAATTGGCCAAACTCGCTTAATAAAAGTTTTGTATGATCTGATGGAAGTATCCAAAGTATGCAGCAAAGAATATTACCAGCAATTCATAGATAAAAAGGATTAAGAAAAGAAGAATAGCATCAAAGAGCATCCATTCCTTATTTTTTTGTTTTTGTATTCACTTCTCTTATCTTCCTGATTGTTTCTTGTATTAATTCAAACAATCATATTTATTTTATTTTTCCTATCTTATAAATAATCTTGTGCTTGTACATTTATGTACATCCGAGCAGGTGCAATAGTTTCATTTTTTATTCTCATTATACTGTGTCTAGCCACGTTTATAACACTGAATGGCGTATCATATACCCCAATGAATAATTATATGAATACTTCAGAAATAGAGGAGATGAGCAGAAGCACGTACAGACACATTCCAAACCAGGATATTTTTAAAGCAATAACCAAAATACCGAATGATGAGTATATAAATAGTAGAGCATCTAGCAGTCTGCTTTTTACATTGGAAGATATAGAGAACACTCCCAAAAATATAGTACACAAGATAAATAGGAGAAGTCCTGACAACACAGATACATTCTTGCTTCCTTTTTTTGCAAATACCAAAGGGGTTGGCGAAGATTCTGTGGTTACCTTTATCACAGAGAATGAAAAAGTAAATGTGCACGGGGTGATGTTTTCTGTTGCCATGAAAAACACCAGATTCACGGAGAAAGCAATCAACTTATATCTTGAAAACAATGACAGCATAGGAAAAGCTGGAATTAGAGACAACGACTATCTGTACTTCGCGCTCGTGAATTCGTCCAAGAACATTAAGAAAATAAAGAGAGAGCTGATGGCAGCCCGTAATGATCTAAATGCGTACATCGAAAGAACAAAGGAGCTTGTGCTGAAAAAAGCCATGGACAAAATAGTAATGAAAATGGACCAGCTCATTCAATACAGAATACAAGAAGCGGAGAACGTAAAAATACACTTAAAGTCCATACAGAGCGAGCTCAACGAAAAAAACAGAGGTTTTCTGGCTAAACTGTCCAGCTATTTTGTGTTTCTGGAGAACATGGAGTTAGGAGTGCCTCAAGCGGTAGAAGAAATGGAATACTTCTTGCAGAATATGGCAGAAGTATTGAAAATATCTGGTGGTTCAATACGCGAGATGTTTAGGCAATACACGTCAGATTTTCAAGGCTTATTGTGGTATTTACAGCGCAATAGAGATAGGATGTTTAAAATCAGCAGTGTTCCTGACCTGTTTAAAGCTTCAGACAGCGCAATAGGGCACTATATTACTCTTTTGAAATTTTACAATGAAAAATGCGCTGACTTTGTCAACACTCACAAGAGAAAAGATCTGAAAAATAAAAAAGCGAACTATACTAACACGCTAGGATGGCTGGATGAGCAAATATCCAGTATAGACGACGGTTATTTGGATGAAATCATACAAGAGGTGAAGAAAGAGGTAACAAACGAGATAGCTAATATGGAAGATGAAGAGTTCAGCTCAAGCGCAAGTAAAATAGCAGCGTACATTCCACTTGTACTATGCTTAGTTCCTCTATACATTCTTCTCTTCTTAAGTATGTACTAACATGCCTCTGCTTATCAAGGTATATTAATAAATGCTGCTGTTTTCCTTTATTCAAGTCCTTTCTATCTATTTTTGGTCTGAAGAAGTGAGAATAGCGGCTAAATCAAATTATGTTTAAAAACAGACAAAAATTAGAGTATGGTGGTGCTGCTTTACCCTGTTTATTTATTTTACTACTTTGTCCAAGTGTTTTCGAAGTCGTGGAGACTGTTCTTCATGCTCAGAGAGAACAGCTGCACTTTATTTGCCACTGGCAGTATTCTTGTTTTTTCAGGCTTTTTCATTTCTTCTCTTTCTTCGCTGCAGATTCTCTCTGTTGTTCTGTACTCCTGCAAGTGTCTTAAGTTGTACATACAAGAAATAAATATTGGAAATAAATTGGAGAAAAACAGAAGAAAAAAACAGAGAAAATAAAAAGAAGAGAGTCAACTAGAATGCAGCTGTAAATAGTAGAATAGCCTAGGGATCTGGGATAGCTCATCGATAGTAAGACAGTAAAGGGGGAAGTAGGGGCATTTGGGATACTTTTGAGATACTCACGGGCTTATCTAAAGACAAGAGTTTTCTCTACTTTGGTGTCCTCCAGCTGTTCTCTCTATCTCTTTGTGATTTGCAATAAATTATTTTTATTTTTATTTTTCTATGGTGTTAAAGCACATAAAGAGTATGCTGGGAATAGAACACTTAGAAGTAGCTGGCAATTTGTACTGCAACAAAGCAATAAAGATAAAAGACGCAACTATTACTATAGCAGACAGCAAATTGGTCGTAGAGGGAGAGAGCAAGAGCGAGTTTATCTTTTCAGACATTTCGTACATTGATTTCTCGAAGACGGAAAGCAATGAAGTTTCTGTTTATTTTTTAACCAACTCCAAAAACAAGACAGAAAGCAAATGGATCTTTGTGTTTAGACAGAACATCCCGCGGACCATCGTCCAGTTCTACGGGAAAATATTCCCGCACCAGCCAAAAATCAACGGATGGACTGTTTTATTCACAAATGACTCCGTTTCTTTAAAGAAGTACAACCAAAACACAGAAGTGTACGATCTGGTCGACAGCTCGGTGAGCGTGAGAATGATAAAAATAGAAGAAAGTGTTTTCATAAGAGTGTACAAAGAGTACGAAATACTCAGAAAAGGCGACCTGATTCAGGACTACTCCAATTTCTATGTGGACCAAGAGACAAACAGCTTCTCCTGGCACCTGTCCAGCGACACGCACGGGCTGGAGGTGTACAGGCTGATATTCAGCTCGCTTCCCGTCTTATTCTCGTTTATTTCCTCGTTTGTCAGCGCTACAACAGAAGAAGCAGCGTACGTGGAGAAGATGGAGATAGACAACTACATGGACTGCGAGATAAGCGAAGAGTCCGAAGAGAGCGAAGAAGAAAGCGAAGAGTCATCAGATGAAAGAGTTCTGAACAGCAAAATCTCTGATAGAAAAGTTTTGAATAAAAAAACAGCAAACGGCAAAAAGTCATCCGGAAATATATTCGGAGGACGGGATAAAGTAAAGAACAAGGCGCTGGCAGTGTCTACAGACAACACCTTTATATCGCGTGGAAATGCCATAGGAGTCTTCCAGAACAACCCAGATGACCTGGCTTTTGTTAGCACTCTATCTGCGAATTTGAAAAACAATCAGGAAATTGTTCCCGATAAAATGATAGCCACAAATGGCAATCTCATCATGACCGACTCAAACAACCCGCAGGTCATCCACAAACTAGACATGAACTCAGGGAAAGTTGCTGACTCCTGGGACACATCGAACGAAATAAGAGACTTCTTTAGCTACAAATCAGACTCTAACGAGCTCCTGGGAATATCAAGCAACAAACTGTTCAAAATAGACCCAAGATGCAGCTCGGTTATAAGCGGCAAGGAGTACGCTAGCAATACTAAGTTTAGGTCAGGAGATGCAACCAAAAACGGATATTTCGCCATTGGCTCTGATTCTGGGGACATTCGGCTCTACGACTCAATCGATAAAAGAGCTAAGACCCTGCTCCCAGGCCTAGGAGATGCTGTCATGGGCGTATTCATCTCGCCCAGCGGAAAATACCTCGTGGGAACGTGCAAGACGTATCTTATGCTCGTGATAACGGAGAACGAAAGCGTAAGCGGATTTAAAACCAGCTTGGGGCAGAAGAAGCCTGTGCCTAAGAAGCTGATTGTGCGGCCTGAGCACCTGCACTACTTTGGAGGAGCTGTTAATTTTACGAATGCGAGCATAAGCACAGACAAAGACGAGAAGTACGTGATAGTTAGCACGGGAGAGTGGGTTATTGTGTGGGACATGGCGAAGGTGCTGAAGGGAGACGTATTTAGCTACCAGATCAAGAAGAATGAGCACTGTGTTGTGTCGAATAGCTTTATCCCCGGGGACAGCGACAAGATCATTGTGGCAATGGACGACGAGATGGCAATGGTCTCTCGGCAGACCCTAAAGAAGGCAAAAAAACCCAGTAAATAAAGAAACCAGTTATAAGATAGTGTGTTAAGTGTATATGCAAAGCGTAGCAGAAAGTGCTCAGTGTGTGTTAAGTGTAGTGCTAGGCAGAGAGCAGATTCAATTGGGAAAGAGATATTATAGGATGTAGAGAAGTTAGTGGCCAGTAGATAAGTGTTGAATAATGGATAGCTAGCAGACACATACTGCACAGAGAGCAGTAAGCAGTGGCTAGTAGATGTTAAACAAGCACAGGCATATACTGCCCATATTGCATTAAGTACTGTCTGTGGTACAATGCAAAAAAGTGTGTACACATAATACACATGGTGTAGTAAGTACTGGCCATTGCATGGGCTAAGAGGGTGTGGGTATATGCTGCACACAGTGTAGTAAGTGCTGGCTGTATGCCACTACTTTCCGTGCTGCATCCAGTACTGCACCGCGGGCCTTATTGGCGGCGATGAAATAATTAATTTCCCCTTTTAGGTGCTAATTAACTTTTGTCTATATAATGGCATAACTAATTGTGCAGAGCACAGAAAATGATTGACAGTACGTTGCCCATAATAGTACTACTAGCATCTGTCTCGCTGCTGCTGCAAAAAGAGGTGCAGAAGTACAGCAGCAGAAGAAGAGTGCAGGAGCTGTACATAAGGAAAAGAAAAAGCAGCCTCCTATTCACCAGCAACCCATGCTTCAACGGATATGTAAATATAGCAGCACACACCTCCTAGACCATGTATAATAAATATTATTTTATGAATAGCCTGCTTTAGTGCACCAATCAAGCACTCTCTACTATTAGCACACCACGTAATAATTGCTGCCACGTATTTAATAAATTATTTTTTTAATTTCATGCGACGAGCTACCATGGCAGGCATGCCTGCCCGTAATTCCCTATCCGCAGACACCAGCAGACTCACGCTCACTGAAGATCCAAGAAGAAAAGGAAGGAACCCGAGAGACAGAGCGCACCAGGAAGAGAACATCTCCACTATCCTTGGCTTTCTCTCCTCCACAGAGTACGACCGCCCCTACTCCCATGCTCTCCTAAGCAACCCTTCGCTCAAAGACTTCCAAAGCATCTTCAGGCACATTCAGTCGTTTCTTGGGCCCTATCTGGAAACCACAAAAAAGTTTGAAGACGAGGTCCCTGCTTTTCTCAAGGCGATAAAGTACCCTTTTGTCTCAGAGATCAACAGAAGCCAGCTGATTGCCATCACTCCCCACACGTGGCCTGTGCTTCTTTCCATGCTCGGATGGCTCTCTCGGATAGTCTCCAGCTCCTACGAGCTGATGACCGATCCAGGCTCTGAAAAAATAAAAAGCGTCTTCTACGAGTACCTGTACGGAGAATATGCTAACTACATGGAGGGAAAGGAAAGCACCCACCTCCAGAACGCGCTCGAGAAGGAGGTCTCCCAGAAGAACAAGGAAAAAATAAGAACAGCAGAAGAGAAAAAAGAACACCTTGAAAAAATAAAAAACAAAATAAAAGCTATCAGCACAAACGACCTCCCAAATGTGCTGGAGAAACAAAAACAAACACAAATTGACCTAGACAAAATATCTGCTCTCAGAAAGTCCCAGGAGATAAAGAACAAGAACCACAGAAAGGCGCTCGAAGAAGCACAGAGAGTGCTGAATGCACTGGAGGAAGAAAGAAAACAGCTGGAGACAAAAAGAGAACAGCTGGAAAACGAAATAAAGGTGCAGCCCATCAGACAGGAAGACATCGAAGAAATGACAGAGGAGAGAGACGCGCTGATAAAAACACTTGAGGAGATAAAAAGATCAAAAACACTGCTCATCAGGGAAATAGACTCGCAAAACAACAAAATAAAAATAGAGGCAGAAGAGTCGGAAACGATTCTTTCAAACATAAAAAAAGTGCAGATCAATGAGAGTATAAACATAAAAATAGAAAAGATAAAGAGAAACACAGGGCTCTTAGAATACGAAGAGTACAGGATAGATGGAGACATCAGAGAAGAGGAAAAAAGAATAAAAAGCATCCTAGAAGAGCTCCAGAGAGAAAGAGAAGCTGTAGAAGCAGAGCTAGAAAAAGAAAAAGAGAGGAACATGGCTCTGAATGAGATAAAAAACAATCTGATAGAAGAAATAGAACAGAAAGAGGAAAGAGTGAAAGTGCACGCGCAGGTTTATCTGGAGAAGAAAGAAGCCACAGAAGAAGAGTACAAAATGACGGTAGGACGCGTAGACAAAGCAGAAACAGAGCTGCTGAAAATATCAGCAGAAGGAGACAACGGCCTATTTCAAACAGAGCAGGCTCTGGAGAGAATAAAAATAAAAAAAGGAAGAACAATCAGCAGAATAAGCGTAGAAGAGGCAGAGACGCAGAAAATATCAGCAATAGTAGCAGCAAACATGAACAGTCTCAAGGAGAGAATAGATGAAGCATACGGAGCACTGAGTATATAATAAATAATTATCCCTAACGCATAGAATTTTTAACCCGAGAATTTTTGATTTTATTTCTTGTTGACTCTTCCTGCTTTGAAGTGCAGAATGTCTCCGTTCATCACAGGATAGTCTCTTCCCTTCATTCTGCAGAGCCCTCTGGCCTTCATCTCCTGCTCGCTCTTGTGCTCTACCAGGTCATCATACGCCATCACATCAACAGCCACAAATCCTGTTTTAAAATCTGTGTGAATAACCGCTCCTGCATCCGGTGCCAGCGTTCCCTCTCTTATTGTCCAGCTTCTCACCTCGTCAGGGCCGCACGTGAAAAAGTTGCTCAGCTCAAGAGATTTATGCCCTGCTCCTATCGCTTTATCTAAATACTCTTCAGCCTCTTCTCCTGTGACTCCTGCGCAGACCAAAATGCACAGCGCCTCGGGGTCACTCTCCATCAAATACTTCTTCAATTTAACTGCCAGCGAAGTTGGTTTTCTTTCTTTGTACTTCTCTGTGCTAATATTTGCCAAATATACGACACTCTTGGCTGTTATCAGGTTCAGAGGCCGCAGTGACCGTATTTCTTCCGATGAAAAATCAATCAGTCTTGCATCTACTCCTTTCTCCAGGTTTGCGATCAGCTTTTCTAGAGCCTCCATGTATATCTTGAAGTATTTATCCGACGGCTTTGACTTCTGCTCTTTCTTTGCTATCTCCAGCCGTTTTTTTGCATCTGATAGGTCTTTCAAGCGCAGCTCTTCTCTGATCACCTGGCAGTCTCGCACTGGATCGACTGAGTTGTCTACGTGCGCAACAGAATCGTCTTTGAAACACCTTACTACGTGAAATATCCCGTCAACCTGTCTGATGTTCTCCAGAAAACTGTTCCCCATTCCCAGGCCTTCTGATGCGCCTTTCACCAGTCCTGCTATGTCAAAAACCGTTAGATATGCAGGAGTTTGTTTTTTAGGTTTGTACAGATCGCACAGAAAGTTGAACCGGCTGTCTTTTATGCTCACTTTCGCTTCTGAGGGGTCGATAGTGCAGAAAGCGTAGTTGGACGCAGGCACTTGCAGCCCGGTCATTGAGTTGAATAGAGAAGACTTTCCTACATTTGGGAGGCCCACTATTCCCATTGTCAGGTTGTGTGTGTTTGTTCGACCAAACTTCACTGGTCCTTTTTCAGTTGCGCTTTTCTTCTGTGTCGTCATTTTTTCATTTTTTCATTTTTCATTTTTTATGACTGCGCCAATGGCTCTTGCATCATCCGTCAGTAGGAGAATAAATATAGCTTGAGAATAGAAAAATAAAAGTTGAAAACTGGCCTTTATTTGGTAATAGTATTCGTTGAATATGCTAAATCATCCGAATGATAGTTTAGTATTTTAGATAAAGGTCCAGCGGCATCATCTGAGAACTCTTCAGAGCCAATGCAACTTTGTTCTGCCTTGCTTATATCCTAAAAGCCTTAATAAACTCCTTAGATACCAGAATAAGATTCTTATCCTCTAGATCCTTGTGCAAAACTTCAATTTCAGCTGGTGCTGGTGGAAAAGAAACATTCATAAAGTCTCTCATATTTCTTGCTCGTACTAGCTTATCGTCTTTCTTACTTATTTTATGTAGTCTGACTTTAATCAAGCCGTTTTCTCTTTCCATAAATGGTGTGGCGTTGTACCGGATATCAAAACTGTTCAATTGGCTGGAGCTCTCATATCTCTTAAGACTGTACCACATGGGATGCAAGTAAGATATATCAAAGTGCACCATTTTTGCTATTCTTTCTCTTTCAGATAATGTATCCTCTACTTCTAAGTGGGGTGTTTCTGGCACATAGATCCATTTAGAATAGAAGAGGCTAGACTGCAGGCTTTTAAAGAAATCAAGACTGAGCTTGTTCTCTGTGCAGAAGCCTTCAATGTCAAAGCTATCTGATTTGCAGTACCAGTCTAGCTCCCACAAAATGTTTAGAGTAGTAGTTATGTTATCTTGTTTTGTTTTTTCCATGTTTGATATTACTTTTTCCAAGTTCAAAGACACACGGTTTGTCTTGTAATTTAGCAGATAGCCATCCATTAAATACTCGATCATCACTGCTTTTATAACCTGTTCGGGCGTGATGTTTCTGATTGGATCCATTTCCGAACCAAAAAGCTCCTTTCTTACTAGGTCAAAATAGATATCCATTATTTGTGCATCTTCTTCTCCATCAAGCCCGTACTCAGAGAACTTGTATCTGAAATGTTTATCTGCCACAATCAATGGATTTTCTCCAGTCTTTTGGAATTCAGACATTACAGTAATCATATACTCTGCAACAGCTTCTGAAGGAATGGGACCTCTTAGATAGCTGACTGTACGCTCGAACTCTTCTTTGTTAATCATACCATCGCTGACAGTTAGTGTGTTCATTTCAAAGAAAGTAAATACTAGGTTGGTGGCGAGTATCTTTTTACTTTGTGCAAGCAAAAATAGTTTTAATTCATGCATTTTTTTACTTCGATGCTTTTCTATGTTATAATATTCTATGAATAAAAGCATATGATAATTGAACCTCTGTATGTTTTCAACGAGTGAATTCTCATCATTGAGCATTTTCTGCAATAGCTCTTCTAATTCAGCGCTATTTTCTCTTCTATCAGTAGAATCGGTTTCCATCATCTCATCAGAAGCAGTTTGTTTTCCAACAGCATACTTGTTTGATTCATTTAATCTTATTAGGTTTTTCATTTCTTCCCATGTCGCGTTAAGAGCTGATAAGTTGTTCGTCATTTTTCGCATAAAAATCTCGCCTGAACATAAATTACTTTTAGCGTTGCAATTTGATATTTCTTTAGACACAAGCTTGCTCTTCTTAAGAAAATCCTTACGAAGTTGAACTTGCTTTTCTAAAGCATTCATCTTTCTGTTCCATTGCACGTTTAAAGCATTCAAATACATCCCTCCGTCCTCTGGCAAACAGCTTCCTCCTTGTAGATATGCTAGCGCAACAGCTCCTATGGCCATTACCTGTTTAAGTAATACCTTCTGCATGATCATAATAATAAAATTAAAATATTTTCATTTTTAAGAAAATTTTTAGGGATTCTCTCTGTTTTTCTAATACATATATTTACCATAGATGAGTATTAAAAAGACAGCCCAAAAATGGAAAAATAAAAGTTGAAAATTATCCTTTATTTGGTAATAATATTCGCTGAGTGTGCTAAAGCTTTCTTCGTTGATAGCTTAGTCGTCTGATAGTTTGATTTTCTTGAACTCTCGCTCTACCTCTTTTTCTGAGTCTTCGCTAAAAGATTTATTGTTTTTAATTTTTAGGGGTATTTCCAAACACTCGAGGAAGTTCTGAAATATTTCTTGATATTTATCGGCATCTTGAAGTCTGTAGAAGCATTTAACTTCAAACAAAATCAGTGAAGTAAACGTATTCATAAAGTCTCTCATGTTCTCTGCCTGTATTAAGCTGTCATCGTTTTTGCTTATTTTGTGCGGTCTAACTATAAGCAAGCTATCTTCTTTGCCTACTTCTATGAATAAATTTCCACTGTAGTTGGGATCTGGCGTGTCTAAGTGAGCGATGCTTTCATATCTCTTAATCATGTACCACATAGGATGTAGATATGATAGATCGTAGTGCAGTTCTTTTGCTATCTCTTCTCTTGATAATGCAGCGAATCCTTCTAAGTTTAATTTATCTATTGTATACACCCACCTAATAGTATATATAAAAGTGTGTCTCAGTTTTTTTAAATTCTCAACATTGATGGTATTATTTTTGCAGAACTCTTCTGGGGTCACTCTTTTAGCAGAATAGCAATACCAATCACCCCACAGCACACTCAGAGCTTTAAGTGCTGCATCCTGCTTTGTTTTCTCCATGTCTGATATTATCTTCTCCAAGTTAGAAAATAAGCAGTTTTCTTTGTAGTTTAGCAGATACCCATCCATTAAGTATTCGATCATTATCAACCTTATAATTTGCTCGGGTGCAATGTCTCTGTAGTTCTTTATTTCTTCATTAGAAATAGCATTTTCTGTAAGCTTGAAGTACGTATAGACTGTTGTGTCATCTTTATCTGTGTACAACTCATAGTCCTGCAATACAGATGGAAAGAACTTATTCGCAGAGACCAATGGGTTTGTTTTCTCGTCTAGGACTTCTATTATTGTAGGAACTATATAATTGGTGTAAATGACAGTGCTGTCGTAAATAAGAATGTCCAAGAAATCAAGCATTTCTTTAAACTGCTTTTTGTAAGCTCCCTTATCTGTTAAAAATCTTTTTGCGTCTATTTCGAAGAAAGTGAATATTATGTTGGTGGGAAGCGTCTTGTTTCTCTTTGC